AGTGGGAGAAACATTCTTGTTATAAATCACTACATTGGTGGCAGTTTGTCACCATAGCCCTGGGTCAGGAATCCAGTCTCCTCTTTTCTCTCTCCTCCATCTCTTCTTTCTCTCCTCTTCCCTCTCCCCTCTCTTCCTCCCGCTTTCCCTCCCCTCTCCTCTCTCTCTCTCTCTCTCTTTTGTCCAGACAGAGAACTTTTTGAAGTCTTCCTTCATTAAAAAACAAACAAACAAACAAACAATTGTCAGCATGCCAGAACCTGGGACGCAACGCAGGTCCCAGGGATGCCAGGAGCATTAGGCACGGCCTGGGCTCATGTTCACAGAGGCCTGTGTACAGCACCAGCTCTGAGAGCCCCACAAGGGGGCCTCTCAGGCCCCTGTCTTCTCAAGCACAGAACACATGTGCTAAGTAGAACTTAAAGGACTCCAGACATGGCATGGGACAAGGTGGGCTGCCACCATGGTGAGTGGCAGGAGCCTGTGGCAGTAGGGGGCCTCCTCCAGCCACAGGATGCTCTCGTCTCCTGGCTGCCTGGTGGAATCCACCGTCAGAGCAAGGCCGGCAGGTTGGGCCCCTTTCTTGTGTCTGTGACGTGCATCCCACCTGCAGGAGAGGGCCCCCCCACTCCACATCCCCCCTCACCGTGAACGCAGCTGAGCCAGTCCCTGGCCTCAGGTCCTGAGCCTAGCACCCCTGTTGACCTGCAGCCTGGTGTCCTCACCTCTCCTGCCAATATCAGGACGTTGCCACCAGAGAACGAACCCAGTTACACAGAGAAAACCAGAGGAGGAGATGGAACCAGATATATTCCTGACAGCTTTGTTTCAACACCTTGTTCCACCTGTGCCTGAAGCCCACCCCTGAAGTTTTCGAGCCAGTTTTGAGTTGAGCTTCTGTTTCGTGGAAACACTTGTGATGAGTACAGTAACGCACAGGCTGATTGCCACCCTCCTTTAAACACTTCGCGTGTTTCAGGCTCTGTGGCTTTTATCTGCACAGACACTTTATGAATTCCACTATGCTACAGAGCACAGTCACTTCCTCTTCACCCATCCCCTCTAAAAGATGGAGGAGACAGGGCGAGAGAGAGCTGCCCTGCTCCCACCTCACACACCCCCTGCCCCCCAGGCCACCTCAGCTCTGGCTGGGGTTCTGCCCTGGAGCACATAGAACCCCTGTCTTTTTTTTTTTTTTAAACTGTGACTATCTCCTCCCTTAGTCAACTTAGGAGGACTTCTGCTTCTATACCCCATGTAGAGTTGAGGGCCACCACCTGTCTGTCCGTTTGTCATGCTGCGCTGTCCTACGTGTTCACGGGATGCTAGAAGCTGTGGCTTTAGCATTGCAGATACCGGCAGGGTCATCCTTGGTGGACAGGTTTCAGTGGACCTTCTGGACGAAGACAGGCGAGGAAGAAAGGCCTGGTAATCCATGGCCAACAGCCCCCCAATGAGCCCCTTCTGGAGCACCAGAGCACACTGCTCTATGCTGACCCCCCCCCCCCAAGCAGGTCCCCAGGAGAGTGTCCACCGGCTCCAGTGAAATGAGAGGTGAAATAGTACCTATTCTGCAATGTGTGTGTGTGTGTGTGTGTGTGTGGTGTCTTCTCTTTGAGGGTGGCTGTGGAAGTTTGGTAGCTGTCAGGACCAAACAAGACCTCGCCCTCTTTAGTGTTTTGCTTTGTAAACCCTCTGGTTTCAAGAACTCCCAGCACCTGGGCAGGTCGCGTGGAGGTCCCCCCGGAGGCTGCCCAAGCCTCCCTGCTGTACAGAACTGGCTGGTTTTCACGGCCAGCAGAGGGGGCCGCGTGAATGTGGAATCCCTCTATCTTCGCCCTCTACCTTGGCACCTCTCCGCTGCCTGACGCCCTTCCCACAGAGCCACCCTGTGGACGCGGGGTCACTAAGGGTGGTGCCACTCCTAGTGTCACTTCCCGCCTCCCTTACCAACCACACAGAGTCCTCCGAAACCCCACCCCCAAACTCACTGCCATCGAGTCAATTCCTGATCATCACGACCCTGTGGGGCAGGGTAGAACCGCCCCGGGGGTTACCGAGACGGTAACTCTTTCCAGGGGTAACCCTGCCTTTCTCCTGAGGAGGGCCTGATGGTTTCAAACTGCTGACCTTGCAGTGAGCAGCCAGATGAGTAAGCACTGCACCCCCAGGAGTCCTTGTGGTCCCTCTAGGTTGGCCTGACCTGGGTCTCCTATGCAGGAAGTCATACAAAACCAAGACGGAGCACAAACACATGACCCGACAGCAACGACACACTGAAACAAAGAGAAACCTCCAACGAAGACAGAGCAGAAAATGTGCTTCAAGCCCTGGAACGCCCAAACCCTGGTCCCGAGGGGGCTACTGACGTGGCATCACATTTGGGCCTAATGACGACAACGGCAGTAGCCCACCTGGCTCCGAGCTCTGTCAGGTCACACGGCCGGCCGTTCCCATCATTTGTGGGCCGCAGTCTGAGGCCAGTCACCAAGTTGCCCAAGACTTTTTGGTTTTGCGTTTGAGAACACTCATAGCCGGCTATCCACAGGAAGCTTTCCGTAGCACAGATGGGCAGCCATTCGAGTGGTCCCTCCCCCCTTGACAGGAACTCACTGTCCCCCTCCCCCCATTTCCCATCAATACCTGGTGACTCTCCATCCCATCCCATAGTTCGGATGTGAGCCCTCGTCTTGGGTCAGAAGCGGTTCACTCAGTCAGCTTAGTGCCTGGCTGCCAGCTAGAGCCACCCCAGAGATTTCCAAATCATCATCATCATCATGCAAATACTGTGAGCCGCAATTTGAAATTCTGACTCTGTTGATCCAGGGTGGGGCCGGGACCGGGGATTTATAATCCCCCCTCCCCTTTGACCTTGTGCTTCTGATTCCAGCCTGGCTGCGGAACTCCTGCTCCGGAAAGCTGCTGTCCTAAGAGGCTGGGCGGTTTTTGTTTGGGGAAAGAGAGTGAGTGCTTTTTTTTTGGCCTGGGGGCACCTGTCCTTTCATTTAGAGGACAGTTTGCAGCAGAGTATTCGTGCTGGAGTGTACACACACACACACACACACACACACACACACACACACGACGGGCGGGCAGATTGGGGGTGGCTGGAACGCTGCCACCCGATTCGCAGGCACTTGGACAACTGCCACCCACTCCGACCCCCACCCCAGATTTGCACCCTTGGTGTTGCGTCTTGCCTGCATCCTAGGCAGCCCCACCCCTGGGATCTCTGCAGTCAGGTGCGGGGCCAAGTGGGGCCTTGGGAGGTAGCTGCTCCCGGCACCTAGCAGGCTCCACCTGCCGAGCTCCAAGCTCCCAAACCCTCACGGCTGCGGCTGCCGGTGCAACATGATGACAAGTACAGGTGGCTCGCAAACGTGTTTCCTAATAATAATCTTTCTGACAAAAGGAGCCATTCAAAGTTTATGCAAGGCGATAGAAACCCCAAGTGACTCAAAAGGTATTTGGGGAGCGGTTCCTCCCGTTGGTCAGGATGAGTAACCTTTTCTGAGAGATTACACTCGATTTAATAAGAAAACTGTCTCCAGGGAGCAGGTCCCAAATAAGGAAACGTTTAGGGAGGAAGGACTGGTGTGGACGCCCCTTTGGGAAAGTCTTCACAGGTAGGGAGTGCCTCCCCAGGCATGGAGAACCCGCCCACCCCTCAGAACCAAGGGACAAAGGAAAGGGACAGGTGGGTCTCAGATCCAGGGGTCACATGGGGTGGCAGAAGGGCTCACCTTGTCCCGCATTCACCTGCGTCCCTGGTTCCTGCCTTGCAGCTAGAATAGGGACGCACCTCCCCGTGTGGGTAATGTCCATTGTTTCGACTATAAATCAACTCACAGGTCAGGCCTGGCTGGCACGTGTGCAAGCCCTCAGGTTTCACAACCCTGCTCACCTGTCCTCTCCCCCAGCCTCCCTAGCCCCTCTCCTCGGCTGCTTCAAGAGAATGTGAGTCTCCAAGCATCCCCCACACATTTCAAAAGGCAGGAGAGAATCCCGTCGCCCAGGGACCCTAACCTTGGAGGGAGCTGCTCCCACCCACCCCACCCATTGTTTCTTTTCGTCCAAGAGGTGCCAGAGCAGAAGGAACATGCGACCTGGCAGCATCTCTCCCATTTCCATTCCTTCACTCCAGCGCCGGGCCTCCTGCTCAAGTCCAGGGTTTGATAACCCCCAAAGAGAATGAGCCTGTCCGGGGATGCTGCGGGCAGTCGGCAGGCAGGTGAACCATGAGTGGACTCTGAAGGGACAGAGAGTGGATAGCAGGTGTGGTGACCTCGGTGTAGGTTCTACATTGAGCTTGAGCCCCAAACCTGGCTTGTCGTGTTATTTGGGACCTGTCACATCTCTGGGGGCTTCTGGGGGTGCACATGACTAACTCACTTGGCTGCTGGTTCAAACCTACCCCCTGGCTCCTTGGGAGAAAGACCCGGTGATCTGCTTCCCTAAAGATTGCAGCCTAGAAAACTCTAGGAGACAGCTCTCCTCGGGGTCGATAATGAGTTGGAATCAACCTGTTGGCCACCACCAGTCACAGGGAGCCTGGGCATTCTTCCTCAAACATGCTGAGTGTGGACGGCCCCCGTGGAGCTCTGAGCGGTGCAAACGGCGGATTCGAGTTCAAGTTCACACAGAGGTGTTTTGGAAGTAAAGGCGCACCCCTTGACAGCCTCGCTGAGCACAGTTCAGCTCTGAGATGGATGCAAGGGTCACATGAGTCAGAGTGGGCTTCATGCAACTCATCGTGGGTCTTTCCTCCCTGTCTCCCTGCCTGTGGGAAGAGCAGCGTGGCTTTATCCAGAAGACCATTCAACCCACTGCCCCAGAGTTGATTCCGACTCAGACACAGAATTTCCAAGGCTGCAAATCTTTAGAGGACCAGGAGACACTTTCTCCTGAGGAGTGGCTGGTGGGTTTGAACTGCTGACCTAGAGGTTAGCAGCCCAGCTGGTAATCCACTAAGCCACCAGGGTCCTTAAAAATCCACTCGCTTGGCCCTGAATCAGGGCTAACAGTTTGCCGAAGCTGTTGGCTTCAAGCAGGAACCTGAAGAAATGTCTGCCTATGGTCTGCTGGCCATTTCAGAACTGGGAAATGTCATGGTCAACTCATCAGAAAGAAACATCTGAGGGGGAAAAAAGAAAGAAAAAAGAAATCCGCTCACGGCTGTTGAGTGGATTCTGACTCACGAGGAGAGAGTAGAGCTGCCCCATTTAGTGTTCCGAGACTGTAACTCTTTTGGGGGGCAGTAGCCTCGTCTGTCTTTCGTGAAGAAATTGGTGGGCTCCAACTGCTGGCCAGCATCACCTCCGACACCACCAGGGCTCCCACCAGGGCTCCCTCCAGGGTCCTGATGGAGCTTAATATGATGCGCTCTGCAGCGTTGCATGGCTGGGCCGGGCATGTTGCAGGCTCCATAAAAACCAGTGGCAATTAAATAATAAATATGGAAACATCAATATATTTAAATCAATCTCAAATGAAGCCTGGCTTATCCCGAGTCTCCAAGTAGTAAAAATTCATTCCAATATAATTTAGCCCACATCAGAAGTCAGATGTGAAATGAGTATTGTCGGGAAACTACAAATTACACTTGTAAAGATTGGTCTTTAATTACAGGCTTAATTAAAGACAAGAGGGATTGGTTTTTGAAAAGGTCTACCGAGTGTACCCTATTTTGCACTGGCCAGATGGGCTGTTGGGAAGAACTCTCTTGTCCTGATAGAACTTCAGCAATGGTGGAGATTTTCACTAATTGAGTTTTGCTCAGAAGGAGGCTCACCTGCCCTGTCAGTTGGAAATTCGGCACCTGCCATTCAACAAGAAATACCAAAGACGTTTATGCTCTTTGGGGAGGAAACGTTCACCCAAACAGAAGAGAGTGGACTTAAAAGTAGTTTACATTTTACGTGCCCTCTCCTGGGAGAGTTAAAACCATCCCAGACTTTTCTTCGATGCTTATATGCATATAGGAAACCCTGGCATAGTGGGTTCCCGTTGGACTGCAAATCAAAACCACAAGGTCAGCAGTTCAAAACCATCATCCACTTTGTGGGAGAGAGATGCGACTTTCTACTCCTATGGAGACTTACAGCCTCGGAAGCCCCAGGGACAGTTCTGCTCTGTTGTGTAGGGTTGCTGTGAGTTGGGATTGACCCAAGGGCAGTGAGTTTGGTTCGAGCTTTTATAGCTGTATGGGGGGGCTTCAAAAAGGCCATGGACTCACTCCATTTGCTTTTAATTCCATGTGTTCATGAATTTTTTGAAGCCCCTGGTAGGTGCAGCGTCTGTTTACAAGGGTAAGTCCAAAAGCATGCCTACACATTAATAGGCACATTTATTAACCAAAAACATCACAATGGAGGCTGCACGGTCTCTCATCTCCTCCATCCAAGTCTACACCCTTAGGAAAGTGGTGTTTCCACATCTCCAACTCTTCCCTGCAGAATTTTGAGTTTTTCAATTTATACCAAAGCAACCCAGCAGTTTGGACACCCTCAAGGGACCCACCTTGTGTTCCATATTCTTTGAGTTGGGGTGGTGGTGGTAAAAACAAGCCTGAAGAGGAAAGATTGGGGTGTAAGGTAGGTGGGAGAAGGTTTCCCAAGGAAATTCCTCTAGGACAGTCCTTGCTGCCCGTTCAGAATGAGTGCATGCATTGTCGTGGTAGAAAACCCCTCAACTTTCCTGATCTTTCCCTCACCAATACAATTGCCATGAAAAATAAATCATAATAAGTCCCCAAGATTGTTCTGTGTCATTTGAGAAAATCTAGTTCCCTCAAGTCTTTATAACCTTCTGAGCTCACCTCTACCTTGAATTTCACTGGCTCAGCAGATCTCCTCAGAAACCACTTTGGATGGGCCTGGCTCTCTGGTTACACGAGTAAATCCAAGACGCTACCCCGGCAATGATTCCTTCCACAAAGCCATCTGCATTCGTGTTGTTCTTGCTTAAACAACGGATGGAAAGTTCAGCTCTTTGAGCCCGCTGACCTTCATCCATCCAGCCAAAAGCTTGCCGAGGCCAAGATAAGTCATTTAAAATGGAAATTGCCAAACCACGTGAAAGCCTAGCGTCAGTGGTACCACATCCACCCTTTTCTCCATCGGCCAAGGTAGACGGGCTCCTCTTGCTTGGCTCATCGTTGAGGTTTTCTGACCTTCTTTCAAACTCTTGATCTGAAAACCCTGGTTTCATGTGAGGGCAGCGTCGCTGTAGGCTGGCTGCAAAACTTCACTGCTTCGGAAGGTGACCTGAGTTTTGTATTAGCCGTAACCTCAAAATTCATCTTTTCTCGCCCCAAAGCACAGGAAGTATTCTCTGTCTGTCTGTTTCTCTCTCTCTTTTTAAAATCATTTTATTGGGGGCTCGTACAACTCTTATCACAATCCATCCATCCATCCATCCATCCATCCATCCATCCATCCATCCATCTTATCACAATCCATCCATCCATCCATCCATCCATCCATCCATCCATCCATCCATCCATCCTGCCAGCACATTTGTACATTTGTTGCCATCATCATTCTCTTTAAAAAAAAATCATTTTATTGGGGGCTCATACAACTCTTATCACAATCCATACATACATCAATTGTATAAAACACATTTGTACATTTGTTACCCTCATCATTTTCAAAACATTTTCTTTGTACTTGAGCCCTTGGTATCAGCTCCTCACTATTTCCCCTCCCCCCCTCCCTCATGAACCCTTGATAATTTATAAATTATTATTTTTTCATGTCTTACACTAACTGATGTCTCCCTTCACCTACTTTTCTGTTGTCTGTGACCCAGGGAGGGGGTTATATGTAGATCATTGTGATCGGTTCCCCCTTTCTTCCCCCCACCTTTCCCTTACCCTCCTGGTATCTCTACTCTCATTATTGTTCCGGAGGGGTTTATCTGTCCTGGGTTCCCTGTGTTTCCAGCTCTTATTTGTACCAGTGTACATCCATCCTCTGGTCTAGCCAGATTTGTAAGGTAGAATTAGGATCATGATGGTGTGGGTGTGGGGGGAGGACTCTTTCTCCCTCTTAAAGGCAGCCTAAACCCAAGACATAGTCTTGTATCCTTTGGACATGTTATCTGTAGAGACCAGTCCCTGGAGAAGGACATCATGCTTGGTAAAGTAGTGGGGCAGCAAAACAGAAGGCCCTGGACAAGATGGATTGACACAGTGGCTGTCACCATTGGCTCATTGTGTTTATAAGGACAATTGTGAGGCTGGAGCAGGACCGGGCCGTGTTTTGTTCTGTTGTAAACAGGGTCTCGATGACCCACTCGATGGCATCCAACAATAACAACTTCCCCCCACCCCAGTGAGTTTCAGAGGCTGTCAGTCTCCCTGGGAACAGATAGCCTCCTCTTTCTCCTGTAGAGAGGCCGATGGGTGATGACCACTGATTTTGCGGGTAGCAGCTCAATGTGTAGCCCACCACACCCCCTGCTCCTTCGTATGCAGGTCTATTTTTAATTGTAGTATGCTATGCATTCTGTGCAAAGCGAGCCACGATTCGTTTTCTCTGTTGAACAAGACACCCTGGGTAGTTCACTGCCCATTCTTGTTAATGACTGCTTAGCTTTCTGTACCAAGGCTACTAAGGTGTTTTTTTTTTAAAAATTATTTCATTTTATTTTTTAATCATTATTTTTAAAAATACTTTTATTGGGGGCTTTTACAGGTCTTTTTTAAATGTTTTTTAATCATTTTATTAGGGGCTCATCGCCCTGGATTCCCTGGATTTCCAGTTCCTATCTGTACTAGTGTACATCCTCTGGTCTAGCCAGACTTGCGAGGTAGAATTCGGATCATGATAGTGGGGGCGGGGAGGAAGCATTTAGGAACTAGAGGAAAGTTGTATTTTTCATCATTGCTA